CAGGACAGGGGCCACCTCGGAGATCCCTGTGGCTTTGCTTCAGCACGTCTCCTTCTCGAGGTCTCTCCTGGAGGACTGAGAGAGCATTCACTTGCACCTTCGTGAGCGCAAGGAGGACCCTCTTCGTAGTTTTCTCCTTTTCTTTTAGTAGTTTTGCTCAAAAACAGACGTCCCTGTATAGAAGGTAAGAGCCTCGAAGAGGTTTGGAACCTGTTCAGTCTGATCCATCAGGTGCCGGCTGATTTTTAGGAAAGGAAAACACTAGATTGTGGGGGCAGCATTTTATTTCCGACCTAGGACTTTGTCCCTTAGAATTACTGGGGACATTGGGGGTTCTCCTATTTGTTTATCCTTTTCCTCTGTCCCTCCTACCTTTCTCTTCTTGCTTCCTTTGTCCTTTTCCTCTGCTCTCCTCCCACCACCAGGAGCTCTGTGTGTGGAGCGGGGGCCGGAGGGGATGGGGGGTTGCACTCCAACTCTCATTGTGGGAGGCCCTCCCAAAGACATGTGGCTGGAATGATGCTCTAAGAGTGACTCCCTCCGGTGGTGACCCGGGACATCTGGTGAGAACTCTCAGCTTTCTGCTTCTCAGAGTCTCAATGCTGATTGGGGGAGCTTGGGGCTATTGTGAGGGAGCAGATTCAGGTCCTTGTTACCCTCTTTTAAGACCATGGAAATAGGCCGTAACCAAACATGTATTTGATTGCTTTTGCCGCTTTTCTCCATTCATTGTCTTTGAGTAATTCATGATTCTCTCTCTAATGGGCTAGTTCTTCTAAAATACTTACTAAATAATTAGGTTTTAATAAAGTCAAATGCAACCCCATACCTCCAGTAACAAAGGAGTCAGGCGGCACCCTACAGAATGGGGGACAATCCGCTGGAAAGCAGTGACCCTGAAAAGGATTTTGGGGCCATAGTGGACAAGCTGCTCAGCATGATCTGTTAATGTGAAACTGTGATAAAAAAGGTTCAAGCCATTCTTGGATGGATAGAGTAGTGAGGATGGAAAGGGAAGTGAAACAGCATTGGTGAGACTGATGTTGGAATGTTGAATCCAGTTCTTGTGTCCACATTTTGAATATTATGTTAAAATAATTGGAGAGGGTGCAGAAGAGATTTGTAATTGAGTGAGGGGGATGATGCCTTCTAATGAGACATTGAAAAAGCTCAATCTGTTTAGTAGATACAAAAGACAAATGAGAGGTGCGTTGCTAGACTTCATGGAGAGAAAATGTCGAGTATAAAAGGGCTCTTTTATGTCGCAGAGAAAGGCATGACAAGACCCCATTGATGGAAGCAAAAATCAGAAAAAGTATAATGACAATAAGACCCAGATTTGTCAGAGGGTGGTTCGTCCTTGGCACAAACTACCAAGAGAAATGATGGCTTCTCCATCTCTTGATCTCTTCGAATAAAGACTAGATGCCTTTCTGGAAAATGTTTGAGTAAAAGAAAAGCCCAGCTCTTCTGACATACAGGAGGCCTTAGGATACGCAGGGGATCAGATTAAATGCTCTAACGGTTCCTTCTGGCCATAAAGTCTACTAACTTGTGAAAACCTAATTGTGGCCTGGGGAAGAGCCTCTGTGTTCTACTGTGTGGTCGGTGTCATCCCCACAATGAACGCTCATTGCGTGGGGTGATCCAGGGGAAGCAGCTCAAACATCCAATGTGGCTGGACAGGGGCAGGACATCAGCACTGCAGGGGAGGGGTGGGTGTGGCAGTGACATCACAAGGGCCTTTGGCAGGACCTCAGCCTATTGGACAAAGGTGGTGGGGAGGCGATGACCTCACAGAGAGATCTTGACATCAGCCAGGCAGGACAGGGGTGCAGGACAGGGGCCACCTCGGAGATCCCTGTGGCTTTGCTTCAGCACGTCTCCTTCTCGAGGTCTCTCCTGGAGGACTGAGAGAGCATTCACTTGCACTTACGTGAGCGCAAGGAGGACCCTCTTCGGAGTTTTCTCCTTTTCTTTTAGTGGTTTTGCTCAAAAACAGACGTCCCTCTAGAGAAGGTAAGAGCCTCGGAGAGGTTTGGAACCTGTTCAGTCTGATCCATCAGGTGCCGGCTGATTTTTAGGAAAGGAAAACACTAGATTGTGGGGGCAGCATTTTATTTCCGACCTAGGACTTTGTCCCTTAGAATTACTGGGGACATTGGGGTTTCTCCTTTTTGTTTTACCTTTTGCTCTGTTCCTCCTACCTTTCTCTTCTTGCTTCCTTTGTCCTTTTCCTCTGCTCTCCTCCCACCACCAGGAGCTCTGTGGGTGGAGCGGGGGTCGGGGGGGGGGTTGTGGGAGGCCCTCACAGAGACGTGAGACTGGACTAGTGCTCCGAGAGTGATCCCCTCGGTGGTGACCAGGGCCATTCTTTGGGTTATTTGGTGAGACCTCTTAGCCTCCCACCCCTCAAAGTCTCAACCTTGATTGGCTGAGGAGGGGGCTATTGACAGTGAGGAAACTCTGGTCTTTGTTTTTCTCTTTTATGACCAAGCAAATAAGTCACAACCAGTTAGATGTTTGACCAATGTGGATGCTGCTCTCCATTCATTGTCTCGGAGCAGTTCATGATCCTCTCGAACAAGTCCCTGCTCCTTTCTCAGCCTTCGTTTCTCCTTCTGTCAAGGACGACTAACAATCCTCTCCCACCTACCTCGCCATGGGTGGCTGCTGGGGATCCACTGAAGAGTGTCACTCGGAGCAGTGCAGACTAGGGGGTGTCCGATCACACTGAGCCATAGCAGATTATGACCTAAGATTCGATTTGATTTGCATTTTATTCTTTTGAAATTGTGAAGAGCAGCAACTACTTAGCTCAGACTGAAGCATCTCGTCTAATTTTCCAGAGCGTCGTGTCTCCCCTTTGTGTACGACGAGACAGTTTAATGCACTCTGACAAACAGGAGATGCTCTTCTTTTGCAAACAAATATTTTTGCAAAGAATTTTATCTTACTTGTTATGATTTCAAGAAACAAAGTGGTTTTGCCTGAATGGATTTTCTGACAGAAAACGGTTTCCATGAAAATGTTCACACCTTATCTCCTGGGCTCTTTAAGTGCTGGGATGTCAGGATCCTGGAGTCGCTGTCTCCTCCGCCCTAGGGCAGTGTTCTGAACCCCCTGCTGCTGGCAGAGTTTCTCCATCCCTTGGCAATAAGACAGACTCTTTTTTTCACAGCCAGTCGATCGCCCTCGTGTCATCACCCTGCCTGCTGGCTGGGCAGGGTAACTCCTGAGGTCACCACCCTCTCCAGCCTGCCTTGGGCTTGGAGAGTGAGGAGGAGGGCGAGGGACGTCTGCTGACCCTGAACATCCGCCATCCATCATACCATCACTGAGAGCAAGTGAGTGGCATTCGGGTTCCTCGGTGGCTTCCCCTGTCTGTGTGGGGAGAGGCAGAAACAGGGAGAGAATACCTCCAAAGGGGGATTTCATTTGCAATCAGCCCCCAAGAGCCCCTCACTCTTAGACAGGGCAGGGGCTTCTCCAGAGCCGTCTCCAGTGTGTTTGGAAAGGTTCCAGCAATGGGGCTCCCAGCCCTTCCCTTGTGGGACACTGTTCCCCAGACTGACAGTCTCTGAGCTGGGGAAATCAAGGGGGAACGAGGAGGGCCCTGGTCTTCCTGTGCCTAGGGTCTTTGTGACTTTGACGTGGGAATGGTTTCCCAGGAGAAGTCCGGACTCCTGGCTTCTCTTCCTTCTCTAGCCTGGGTGGGAGTGTGGCCTGGGATGACAGGAGGGGGCTGCTTGTCCAGAGGAACCGATGGTCTTTGGGACTGACCCCATTGCTGGAAAAGGATGAGACTTCCTGGCTATTGCAGCAGCAGGGATTACGAGGGGGAACATTGGGAGCAGATCATGCAATGAACTCCTGCCCGTGTGTGTAGATGGCACTCCCTGCACTCCTGTGGGGGCAGAGGGGGCGGCTGTGGTTGGAGCAGGGAGGAGGAGGGCCGGAAAAGGGCCAGGAGTGAAAGGCTGCCTTGAGCCCAGATTCACCCCTGCTCCCCGCTCGGTTCCAGGATGGCCAGGCTCCTGCGGATGTTGCGGAGGAAGGCTCTGCCGGTGGCCCCAGAGCCTGAGGGAAGCAGCTGCCGCCTTCCCGAGGGGCAGAGCAAGCCCTGCGTCCCCGCTGGCGGGGAAGCAGCTCCCGTCCAGCCCAGACGGCGGAAGTGCCCGGCCTTCTGGAAAAGGACCCCGGCTCCCGGCGCAGGCGCCGAGCTGGGAGCGGCCCCGACCAGGCCCCGGTGGAGCTGGCCCAGGCTGCGGTTTTGCAGACGGGACCCAGCCCAGGAGGGGCGCCGGGCAGGGTGGCTCTGGGGCTGGTTGTGTGGGCAGCAGCGGCCCCAGGAGCCCAGCCCTCCTTCCCATCAGGAGGCCTCGCCCTGCCCGCTCTCTGAGGCCCTTCCAGCCCCCGCCGGCCAGGAGGGGGAAGGTCCCTGGCCCAGCACCGGCAGCTCAGCCTGGGACCGCGGCAGCACCTGGGCCTTTAGCAGCAGCCAGGCCGACGGGCGCCACGGCTTTGTGCCAGGTGAGGAGCCAGGCTGGGCTCCGGGAGGGCTGAGGACGGGATGTGAACCCCCTGGGCCCAGACGCTCTCCCAGGGAGACGGGGGGGGGTCCCCAGCCCAGGTGTCTGGCCTGAGCCCCGCGAACCCCACGGACAGCAGCAGCCGTCACACAGCTGCCCCTTCGCACGGGGACCTGGGGGTGGGGGCGTGAAGAGCTGCTGCCACCTTGGTCCTTGCTGCTCCGGGCGGGGGGAACAGGCCCCTCCCCTGGAGTCCTGGGCAGGGGTGGGGGGCTCTGCTCTGGGCTTCGGCAGCTGTTGGGGGCTGACGGCATCCCTGAGAGGGAGGTCTGGGGCCCCATCTGCCCTGGGGGCCTGAGGTGGGAAGGGGGGTCTTGAATCCTGCTCTGCCCACCACGCCCCTGTCCACCCCCCAAGTGGCAGCAGGCATCACCCTGTTCCCTTCTCTCCTGGGTGCAGGGACCCCCCTGGATTCGGAGCCGGAGGAAGGGGTGGACGTGGCCAAAGATGAAGCTGCTCTCAAGGTCATCCGAGAGCAGCTCCAATGCAGAGATAAGGTACAAATGTTCCCCACCTGGGCTGGAACCAAGATGGCCCTGTCCCTTCCCAGCATCCCCACCCCCTGCCAAGGGTCCTGTCCCTCCTGATCCACCACCCCTAATGGGGCCCTTTTACATCCATGATGTGGGACTCCCAGATGGGGGTGTTTGTCCCACAACAGCTGAGGTCGTCTCCCCCCACAGGCACTGTCCCGGTTCCTGATCCTGCTTGCGTAGGAGTGGTGGGGGATTTGGACAATAGGCGGGTCCCCACAATCCCCCATTGAGGCCCGAGCCCTGGAGCTGGTGTGGGTGGGGCAGGAGGGTCCCTCGCTAACAGGTTCTCTCTCGCTATACCCCACTCCTGGTGGGTCCAGGATGAGGGGCAGCAGCTCCTGTTCCTTCAGGCCATCTACCCCGCCTGTCTGGCTGCACGGGAGAGAGGGGAGGACACGCTGGAGCCGCGCTGCTGCAAGGCGGCTGTGGTGAAGAGGATCGTGGTGAGTGAGACACGCCATACGGCAGCTGGCGGGAGGAGAGGGATCCCGCTGGCCATGTGGGGCACTGGCTGTGTCATCTCCTCACTGGGAGGTGTCAGTCGGGCCTGAATCTCACACGCTCCTTTGTCTCCTTCGTGTCTCACAGGAGCTCATCGAGGAGCTTCCCGACGACTCGTCACCTAGCGCCGTCCTCGCCCACTCCCTGGCTGCAGTGGGGAACCTCTGGTACTGAGACAGCCCCACCCCCCCACCCCGCCGGCTCCCCTCACCCCAGTGCTGCTCAGGCCCAAGGCTGGGAGTCACCGTCACTGTCCCGCCCAGGTCACCTCCCAAGAGTGGCGCCTCTGGCAGAGATGGTGGGGTGGGAAGGGTCACTCTCTCCTGGCGGGGCTCTTCTTTTCACTCCCATCACATGACAGGGGCCTTGGGGAGGGGCTCATTCCCGGGCTCAGATACAGGAGGGGCAGCAGGCTCCAGGGAACAGGAACTATTCTTGTCCTGCCACTGTCTGTCTGGGACGTCTTGGCCTTGTCATTCCCGAGCTTAGTGCCTCAGTTTCCATTCTCGCCAGCCTGTGCCTCTATCCCTGTGGGTTGGTGTCCGTGTTGGCGACAGTCCCACCCCCGTACTGCACAGTCTAATACCAGCTCCTCTCTCTTGCCAGCACCATGAAACCTGCCCTGGAGCCAGCCCTAGAGACCCACCTCTTGCGAGCTGCCCTTCACTCCGTCTTCACCCTGGGCACGGAGAAGGACACCACCGGCATCCAGGTACCTCCTCCTCCTCCATCCTCCTCCTCTTCCAGAGTGGTCCTCGGTCCTGCTCCCTTGATTCGCTGGAGCTCCAGATTTAGGGGTGGGGTAGCGGAGATGGAACAAGCTGCAGGGTTGGATCCTTCCCTCCAGCAGGGAAGAGATTACCCCTCTCTGGGGGATTTCTTTCTTTCTTTCTTTCTTTCTTTCTTTCTTTCTTTCTTTCTTTCTTTCTTTCTTCCATAAGCCCTGTTTTGCCCAGAAGCCCAGCTTCCATCCATAGCAACTTGGCTGTTTCATACTCTTCTGCCTACAAGGCCCTGTGCAGAGACCTGCTAAGCTCATGGATCAAAGGTCCAGGGGTCATCAATTCTTGCGAATTGCCTACAGTGGGATGTGAAGGAGAGAGGCCAGGAGATGTGTTTGGGAGTCTCCCCAGTGCTTCCCAGAGACCCCTCTTCCCATCCTGTGGCAGGTGTAGGCCCAGGTTCCCTAACTCTGACCCATGCTTTGCAGGCTCTGCAGAAAGTCATCCCAGAGGTCCTGGATGCCATGCTGGGGAATCTGCTGGCAGAGTCCCCAGACACAGACAGGCTCCACTTCATCTTGGAGGTGAGCCCCATTTTACCTGAACTCTTTGGGGGACTGGTAAGGAGAGCCTGGGAGATCCATTTTCTACTCTGTCCTCCTAGCTGGGTCCCCAGTGGGCCGTCCTTGGTTGGGGCGGTCAGTGCAATGCAGTGTCAGGTCCTTCCTTCTTGAGGGACAGAGGAAGGAGCTGGGACTTCAAGCCAGAGCTCTGCCTGGTTCTGTGGAGCACGAACCACAGGGCTCCTGGCTGTCTTGGGGAGTGAGAGTCTGAAAACCCACCCTTCCCCAACCCTCCAACACACACACCCCATGAGATTTGGGAGATGGTTCTCAGACAAGAGGCACACGCTCCTTCCTAGAGAAACAGGAGGACCCCAGGGAATGAGCCCTTCCCTCTGATCTGCTCTGAAATTCCTGGGGGGATTGTGCTCTCAGTCACTCCCTACACCCCCCCAAGGATTTGCGTAGCAGGGAAGGGCGAGGGTTCAGTCTCCTTTCTGGTGAACTGTTCAGGAATCAGGAGTTCTGGGAGGATGGGACCAGCCCCGACCCCGAACATTGTCCCAATCTAGAGAGACGCTGACAAGTTGTGACCTGCAAGGTACAAGCTGCGTCCTGGGGGAAAGAATCCCCTTCTAAAGCTCTGCCATCAAGGCCTCAGATATTCCTCCCTGCGCAGAATGTCTCAGGCCCCTGGGGCTGAGGGCGTGGGGGGCTCATTTGCAAAGCAGGTGCAGCTGGCCACTGAGTCTGACCTGCCTCCTTTCCCCACAGCATGTCAACTTCTGGGTCGTGTCCAGGGTGTCCCAGGAGCGAGCCAGGGCCATCAGGAGCAGCACAGCCCTGCTGAGATACACAGCCTCCCTCCCTGAGTTTGACGTAAGTGACCTCCGACCCAAGCTTGCTGGCTCCCGGCGGAGGCGGGCTGGCTCCGGCGGTCTGCAGGATCTGCTGCTGCCGGGGCTGTGACTTAGGAGGGTTCTTCATGGGGAGGCAGAGTCAGAGCAGGGACTGAGCTCGGCTTGAGTCAAGTTCTTCTTATCCTGGTTCAGTGTTGTCCCTGAGCCTTTAAGGGGACCATGCTCCACCCCTGCTTGGCATCCCAAAGCAGCTCCGGGCTCCCTTGGCAGCAGAGCAAATGAAGGGTCGATCTCAAGCTCCTCTCCCCCAGCATCTCCTGCAGAGGGGCTAAGGGGAAGGAGCCCTCTGGCCCAGGGGGGACAGGGAGCTGAGAGGAAAATACTGATGGAGTCCCCTCTCCTCTCCCTTCCATTAGATCTCAGCCGAGTTCCCTAAGATGGGGCACCATGTGGCCCAGCTGGCTCTATTTGTCAGCGATCCAGACAAGGACATCAGCCGGCAGGCCAGGGAGGGGACTTACCGGCTCTACCAGCTGCTGCTCCGACAGAGGGGTAAGGAACCCAGCTGGGACAGGGAACCCAATAGGGGACTAAGAGTGACCACAGGTGGATAATGGGACCCCAGACCATTTCTCTCAGACTGACCCCAGCTGGAGGACAAG